ATCTCATTCCTTTTTATGGCTGGATACGTTATCTTGTTTTAACAAGAATAAGAATACTTAATTGAGAGTAGTTCACCAAAACCACTTCGTCTTTTATCAGTCTTTTAATATTTCATTAACATGGCTGCATAATCTTTTTTAAAGAAATGTATGATAAAACTGATATTGGGTTTAGTTATTTTTCTCATCATTTTTATAAAAAAGAACTTAACAGACGCCAAATAATGTGAAACTGAAATCCTCACGTTCAGCGAGAACATACTATCGTTTCCATTCGATCAGACCTGCTATAAGTAAACATAAAAAATAATTTTCTTCTTCCGCGGAAAGTGTTTTTAAAAACCTTTATGAATTAATGTAACTGTAAGGTAAAAATGTTATCTATACTTGATGATCAGAGTAAGTTCCTGGTGGATATCCCATCCGATATTAATGTTAGGAAATTGAAATCCAGAGTAAATTTCAATATAATGAAGCTCCTTAAAATGAATGCCATAAACAAATAAGAATTTAACATGCTAAAACCCACCCGTTCCGTTCTTCTGAATTTGGATGGATTGCCTAAAATTCATAAACCTAATAATCAATTACGACCAATATTATCTAAGTAAGGTTCATCTACACATGAACTAGTAAAACTGCTAAACCAAATCCATAATAAACTGTGTAAGCTTTTCTTAAAAAACACATTTGAAATAATTGATCTTCTTGATAATATTAATTTCAAAGAAAAGACATGCACTCTTTTGATGTAAACTCTATTTTTACGAGTGTACCTTTAACCAAGACTGTTAATTTCTTTTGTGACCATAGATCGAGTAATTTCCAACACTGTTGAAATAACTGATTTTGTTATCTACTGCAAAAGTTCAAGTTACATTTGAAGGTGAACATTTTCAACAACTTGATAGTGTTGTAATGGGTAGCTCATAGGGACATTTCTTAGCTAATATATTTATGTCATATGTTGAAAATATGATGAGTGACCTCATCAACGAGGTAACTCTATATAGGAGATACAGGAACGGCATATTAGTTACATGTGTAATGAACGAGATCTAAGGTGGGAACAACCAATTTATTATTTAATTTAAAATTGCAGAATATTTTCGTAAAATATGCGAACCATACATTAAATACTTCATTCACAAATTTTCATCAATTGTCCTTCACATTCTGTATAATTCTGACAATTTACAATTACTTTCTATTTACCTTCTTATTTTCTTCACCTCGATCTTCTTAGCCTTCTTCTAATAGGCATTCCGCTCCCGATTGGTGTTACATGCTACTTATGTCGAAGGCAAGTAGCAAACACCACATTTGTCCTAAAGATTTTGATGTCTCTCTCAATAGAGTACAGAATAATATCGTAATGAAATATGAGAAAGAAAGTAGCAACCAAATTCCCTTTTTAGATATACGTTTGTGTCGAAAGGAATATGGAATTATAAAGTGGTCAGTTTGTAGGATGTTATGTTATTCATTATAACAATCCTTGTCAGAATTATGATTTCATAATGAAAACAATTATTTATTTGTATCGAATATCTTCAAAGTATGAACTGTACAGTTTGGCTCGATAAAGCACATATCTACATGTCAAATTACATGGGTGCTTATATATAAACTATTATTTTGCTTGTAAAAATATATTTGTAATTTCCAGTTCTGAATGAAACAGGAAGAAGTATTTATCTTTTGTTGGAGCCCTAATGCTGATTGGCGGGGATTCAAAAACGAGATCAAAAATATCTATTTATATTAGTTGTCAAGTTAAAAGGCACAATTTTCACAATGAATAGATCTCTGAAAGGTAACCTCTGTTAATATAATTCTTAATATGTGAAGTGTTATCCTTTTACAACGTGTTTTCTTTACAATAACCATTTGAATCATTTTTATCGGATAACTATTTTCAGTTGCGTTCTTTGAATGTAAAAAAAGTGTAATTTGTGGAAAATACATTTATAGACTTCACTGAATCAGTGACTTTTATTTAGGGAAATGGAAATAACCTGTATTATAGTGAAATGAAGTATGTTTTATCTGCTAATTATGTATCTTGCAAATAAACATATATAATCATTATATGTGAAAATTATATTTGAAATATTCTCAGAGATTATTACCCTGAAGAAGTCCAGACAAGTTAGCTGGACGAAACGTTGGAATTAGTTAAATTTCAATCGCTGAGAATATTTCAAATATAATTTTCACATATAATGACTTCTCTATACTCGGCGCTCAATTACTGTCAAACTATTCGTTCTAATCATGACGAATATTCGTATAAACATATATAATGTTTGAAGAATTAATATTTCTACGTAAATTTAGATATTTATTTTGTCCAAGTATTCTTTCCCAAATTACATTCCGCATTTCAGTATACGTTTTTATATCAATTAGATTAGATGGTATATTATCATTATTATTATTATCATCGAGATTTAATGCTTTTCCGAAATGTAAAAAGCAAACATGAACTGTTTTCAACTCGTCCTATTTTTTCTAGATTAATGTGTTGAACATTTGAGATTTAAGTGTTTCGCTTCCAAATATATAGACAGTGTGTAATCTTAATACTACTACTAATAATAAGCTGACTTCTTTTTATATGACAGATATGTAATTTCAACTTAATTATCGTTAACGAGCATTAATACCAGCTCTAAATCACTAGTAATCTATCACAAAACTTTACGAACTGGAATAAAATGACTGATTAGAATAATAAAGACATTGAAAATCAGTTGGTGAGTTTTATGAAGTCGACAACGATGTTGCATAAATAATTTAACGCAAATTACTTGACAAAATTTTAATTACTTCAGTAGTATTAGTTGAATACTTTTCTTCATGATGCATTAAGAATCACTGAAGTTTATTCCATAAATTAACATTGTTAGAAAGAAGAAAAATGTAACTCAGAAGTTTATTTATTATTGTTACTGAAATCAATTAATTTATTAGTTTTGTAAACTATGTACATGCATTGACTTATCAATTAATTATTGCCAAATAATAGCAGTTCAATACATTGGGACCTAACTATTAACCGGATTTTAGAATCAGTGCTTGGTGCATAAATAAACCTTCTACAGTCTTGCATTTGTTTTTTGCTCTGAGTCATATCAGCCTTATCCTATCCAAGTAACAAGCAGAAGTTTATCAACAGTCATAACAAGAAGCTATGTCCAAAGTACAGCAGTTATTTTTCCTGATGCCATAAATAATAACCATATGTCTAAGTAAAATCGGTGTATTGATAAAATCTAAAAAGTTATAGAAAACCAAAATCTAACTGTCAATTGTTTCTGATTGATTCTAATCAAACAACTAGGAGTTATCTAATAAACCAAAAAAATCGATTACTGACAATAGTATTTTATAAAATATAAACATTTCAAAACAGTTTATTTATTTGGAAGAATACGTCATATATGCTCTTTAAGACTCTGAGTGATGTAGAACATGTCATTTACACATATGAATCACTTCTTTTTGCCCTTTTTTTGTAATGGCGAACACGAAATAATACAAGGATAATTTAGCATAAAATGTATACTGCAAGTTTATAATTGGATTCAGAATTTGGTTCAGTCAATTTTTTTAATCTGAAGATAGTACAACCATTGTGCGGCTGTTTATAATAGAAATATTATTATTAAGGCTATATAGGCATCTTTATAGTGATATCTTTAGTAGATTATGCAGTTGAAGAAAAAGTTTACTTTATCAAATTATTATGTCTATATTTCAATAAAACGGTGGGTTGAATAATCAGTTTTCAATCTGAGTTTCTCAAGCAATCCTGCTGAAACCAGTGGTTCATGCTCATAATATAAGATTCATGCTATCAGTAAATGAAATATTAAAATTATCTTTAGTTTCTACTTGTGTATTGAGTATTACCAATTATCTTCAATTTTTCTCTACTACTAAGTTTTGAAAACGAACTACTTTTTTAATCTTGACGGTACTAATGAAGATTTTAAATATAATTGAAAATTATGGATATAACTTATATTTCGAGAATTGTAGAATGTTCTCTTCATATGAACATCAAATGTCTAGTGGTTATTTTGAGAAAGATAAAACACTTAAGTGACGGACACATGTTTGAATTAAGATGGCAAACAAAGTGATTTCTACCTGAAACATTTAACTAACACATTAGTTTTTAAAAAATCACAAACGACTAAAACTAAGCAATCTGTTTATCACTAGGGGAATATAAAATTTGATCATGGAAATCTGTGTGTAGTTATGGTTAAATTTTGCCAAAAATTTCAACTAGCTTATTATTTATAGGTATGCAAAACATAACGATAAGGTTAACACCTTTAAAGCTAAATAAATGTTACGGTGTTCTCTTCATCAACTGTTCCTATGCTTCAATCATTCACAATACACAAAACATGAAGAGAAGTTAAGACTGAATAAAGCTTTATCGAATTGTATCAGTTAATGTAGAAACATCATATGTATTCTGTTTATCGTTTTTACAATAAAACACTATATCTTATACATTTTAAGATGTTATCTTTTCAAATATAATTGTAAATGGTACAACGACATATTCATTGTTTTTTTATTAGTAGAAGTAAAAACAAAAAAAATTTCTAGTGAGCTAATTACAAACACTATTTTCATGTTGAATGGTCCAACTAAATACTATTATATCTGTCATTAATTATCTATTATATATTATGTGGGACATAATCTCTATCCCATGAAAGAAATGAATTGTATACAAAAACTATCTTTTCCCCTAACCAAAAGTTTTCCCACAAAACTAAAGGATAGAAAAACAAATGAAAATAAATAAGAATTACATTTTGAAAAAAAAGAAACAAATAAAATAATGCTAACTGAATTAACCAATTGCATTTTATTAGTGAGGCCAAAAGAAATACAAATTTCAGAAAGTTAACTCAAGCATAAAATGTGTGTGAACATATATATAAAGGTTTTCAGACAATATAGAACAGTCAATCTGGTGCGTGAACTGATATCTGTGAAACGTTTCAAAGGCAGTCAGTTGAAAACATGAAACTAATTACACTTTTGTTTTTAATACTGTTAACAATATCAAATATTTATGAATCAGCTAATGCACTGCAAATGTAAGTTATTATCTTGTATAAATATGTTGCAATACTTAAGTAAATAAAAAACATTTTTTGTATATAGATTCTATGTAGATAATTTAATGAAGATGATGGATAAGAGATAATACTTTAAGGCTTATTTTGTTACTGACCATAGTAAAATATAAATACATTTATCAATGCAGCAATTTAAGAGTTAGTTCTTATATGGAATTGCTCTAATACATTCATTTACTTTACTTATACAGACCTTAATCAGGTTGAAAAATTAACATGAAACGTTCTATAAACTGTTTTCATTAAATCTGAACCAAACAACTTTTGTTATAACCTAAACTATAAGGAATTAATCATTAAATAACTTGGATTATTTAGATTAATATTCAATTCAATATTTTGGAACTATAGAGAATATTTGGTACCAAATATTCTCTAATCAATTAGGAACATGAACTATATCTACCAATTAATTAGATTTTTTTGAAAATGTACTAATTTTTCCCAAAACGAAACATCTAAAATGTATCTTAGAGTTTTATAAATCTTGACAGTTTTACTAAAACTTGATAGTTTTCAAGTATAGAAATAAATTCTGAGCAAATAAAAAAATAGTGCTACAACAAGATGGCACACAAATGAACTTTTATAATGGTTAGTACCTATGTTGATCAGAGAGAATTGTTACTAATGAAAATATAATAATTCATTAATATAATAAAAATATTAGGGTAATATAAATAATCATCGTTTTATTCCATACTATATATAGGTCTACACGGTAGTAGATTCTTTTTATTTTTTCAAAAAATAAACTGAAAAATAAACCTATAACAATAAACATCTTTAAAAGCAACTATTTTGGGACAATTGTTTGTTTCAAACATTTTTTCTTCATTGCATGATGGAATGTATTGTCAAGTATTTATTTATCAACTTTTATACATGACTTTTAATGTACTTGCATATACTCCTATTATATAATGGAAAAAGAGAAAAAAATTCTACGAATACTGTTGTGTATAGAGGCTGTTATAGGTTTGTTGTAAAAGTTTTAAAAGAGCATGTGAATAATTATTGCGGTTGGTGAACATTATTAGTAAATTAAAACAAATCGAAATTTAAAAAGACCGTTACGATTTTTGAACAGTTAAAAATGTGTAGTACAGAGATATAGGCAGCTTACCATTTGACACTGATAATTTCAAACGATAACAAAATGGTGTTTCGTTTAGTTGTTTTCAAATCATAGAAAAAAAGGGAAGTCAATAAGAATGTTATTAAAGTTTACTTTGCAGATAAGATCCAATATACAGTTAACATTGGCTAGAATAATGCATTTTTCACTTCAGTATTCTATTATGGGGCTACTAGCAGACAGGACTCCAAAGATGGTTTTTAGTTTTGAGCGTATTGCTAGAATGTGTATAGATGTATTATTCTGTAACACCGGTTAGAAACAGTTTTATTATGATTGATACTTTATATTATAAACTGAGTTGCATCTACAATTGTTCGATACACTTATCAGCTAACACTTACTCCCTAATAGCAGTTTCACCACGTTCAAATGAAGCTTTAGAAAAAAGATCATAGATTTATAAATATTTGAACAGTTGAAAGAATAAAATTCAATTGTTGAAGACGTGTTAGTCAAATAACAGAATAATTAACCCAGTACTTGGGATTATGTAATTCGGCGACCTAATAATCCCATAAATATAACCACTTATCTATTTTTTTGTATGCTGTTTAACAATAGGCAGGTATTCAAAACTTATTTTTCACTCTTCTGAGCACGTCAACAACATTAATCTGTAATTTTAAAGAAGTCGTTGCTTCCTGCAGATCATCGTTTGTTTTATCGATCAACAGAGTTGCATCGTTTCTTAGGACATTCCGATTGACAATGATTATCCATATTAGTTTTTGTCTAAAATGCCCTTTTTCAGTATATTTAAGATTATAATTCTCATTTTTGAGCACCTCTTATAAGAAGAAATCAAGCATCACTCATTAGATTTTTGGTAAACTGACACACTAAGATAATTCAAAATAGTCAAACAGTATACGTAAGAATTTTGTCGCGTTTTTTGAAGTTATCGCCACCAAAATGTTTAGGCTCACTTTTTATACTCGAACTTTTACTTCGAAAAAAAATGTTTCCATACACTTGTTGAGTTTCTGCTTTCTTTATTACAATGTTTATCCATTTATTCTGTAAATGATAAAACGCAAAAAAATATTACAAATCGTTCCATCACATTTTGTGCCGTAATTTCTTTTGTATGTACATCAGTTCACATCTCATTCACCACCCTTCTGTAAATTTTCTGAAATTATATGTCTTGTATTATTTTCATTAACTCATATTAATGTTGAAGGAAGTGATCAATTGAAAAAAGATCCGCTCAGTAAAAAGCTTATTTTCTTTTCCTACCACTTGTTCTCGCCTTAAAGTAACCTGTGATGGAGGAGCAATTAGAATATTCTAGCCTCCTGAAAATCTTGACAAATTTTTTAAAAGATTTTAAAAGGTTTTATGTTCCAAAAAGTCTTTGTGACAGACCAATATGAGCGATTTGTTTTTCAAACTATTCTTCTCTCACTAGCTTTTTTGTCTGATATTAAGCCACTTACCTCAACCTCATTCATATTTATTTTATATATATATATATATATATATATATATATATATATATATATATATATATATAGTATATGCTGCTTATGAAGACAGATATGAGTAGTATTTAACACTAATCGGAAGTGGAATACATGGCAGCAGAAGGCTAAGAAGATCGAGGTGAAGAGAATAGAAAGGAAAACAGAACAGATTTGTAAACTTGAAGAATCATATAGAATGTGAAGGAAACAGGATGTAAATTTTCAAATTATTTATTAACTGTATAGATGGATAGTGGCTAGTAGTAGAAACCACGACGCTCGTTTCGTCCTATTTGGAACTCGTCAGCTGGATGTACCTGAATCTTAGAGTTGATGTTCACACTGACACTTAAACTCAATACCGTTCGCTTCGAACACCATCGCGTTATCCACTTAGCTACTGAGTTCTGATAGCTACTTGCTTGTGCAATGGGGTGAAGTTATATTCACTTGATGTTGTTTACTTGTATCTTCCCATTGTTATTTAGTAGTGCAATTGATCAGGTGCCTATCAGGACTCAATAGCTAAAAGGATAACGTAATGGTATTTGAAGTGATCGGTACTGGGTTCAAGTACCAGAGTGAACATCAACTCCGAGATGCCGGTACATCCAGATGACGAGTCTCAAACAGGACGAAACGCGCGTCCTTGATTCCACTGCTAGCCACTATCTATCTCTACTTATATTATATTATTGGTTTTTAATACTTTGAGATAAGTAATAATGTACATCAGTTGAAGTAATAAGTTTTCCAGGTCAGTAAAATGTAATAAAACGCTCAATTATAAGCTTATTTTTATATTCCACTTTTTTCTTACTTGTTGTTAAAAACCGATTAACAAATGCTATAAGATTAGTTTCAAGACATTTTTATTATCTATTTTAAATATTAGTTAAATGTGAAATAAGATGACAAAGTTGTTTTTAAAAGAATGTACTTCTTGATGAACAGAAATAAAACTATCCAAAATAGTGTAAATTTAACCTGTCAACTAGCATTCAGTCATTAAAACACTTTAGAATGTATATAATGGTTCATAAATCAAAGAAAAGTATCAATTTATTGTTTGACAATTAATAATTTACAATGATTACCGTATTATTTCCGTTCATCATTTAAATGTATCCAAATAAGTCTCATTGCTATTTAGTACTCATATCATAAATTGAGCTTAACTTGTCTGTCATTTACTTGTGATTGGTAGGTACAGTAAACGAAACTCTTCTTTTTCATTGTTTTACCAAAACATAGAGGTGAAATACTTGACGAAGTTCTTTTTCTTCGCAAGCTCTCATATACATCAAAATGTTTCTCAACTAGATTAACTTATGAAATGTTGAGACAAAGTTATTTTGTACCTGTCGTGAAAGCTACTTTATTTTTAGATTTAGAATAACGAAAAGGACGAAATTTTTTCTGTAAAGATAGATATAAAATGTCTGAATTAGGTAGATTTATAATTTAATTGGGAAGGAATACAATTGTTTCAATTTAATCTAATCTAAAAAACTGTACTTCTTAAAACGATAGATTGTTTATACTATATGATAAATCACGAGTTAATAAAGACGGGTTATGTGAATAAGCATTAAATCCGTGTTATTAAAATTTGGTATAGTTTGATGTACCCGTCTTTAATCAGATGTACCACACTAAACACCCCAAAATCACAAGCAGACATACATCAACACAGAGCCCAGTGTAGATGTGCGTTGGTTCAAGTTGCCACGTCAAGTTAGTACAACGAGATAAAAATAAAAAGATTATTAGAGAAATATATCGAAATAGCATAGTATTATTTATTATTTATTATTATAAGCTTTATTCTACATTATATTTCTGGTACAATATAGAATTCTCAGCATAAAGTATTTCAACAAGTTTCCTTTTCTTATATCTTGATCGATTCTGACGATAAATATTGAGTGATGGCCATTTAGATGTTAGAAGTTCGGTAATCCACATCTGAATAATGTTCATTCGTTTCAATGCACATTGCCAGCCACCATGATGTTGCTGATTGTACATTTTTTTGACCCGTACAGCGAAAGGTTGTAAACTTTTCATAAACGCTCCTGAATAGGTTGTGAGCTCAATAGACATAATGATGTGCTAAGACAAACAAGAAAACAGACTTGACGAAATATCTTGATGGGAGGAACAGGTAGCCCAGATATTCAAGCAGGCAGTTATAATAAAAAGAACAAACTAGTGAAAATATGGTTTGGGAAGACAGCGTAAAAGTATGTATGAAAAAATACTGGAATCCAAGATTGAGAGTAAGATAGGAAGTGAGAGCATCTGTGACACTGTCAACAATCACTAGCCACAACAGACATCTTCACTAA